TCAGTTACTCCCACAAAGGTCTTTTTTAGTTTGCTTTTGTATTCATTTAGAAATGAACGTTTAAAACTGGAGGTGCTTCACTTCCCAGCAGGAGGGCAGAGTATGACTGTCACCCACAGATCCCTCACGGCCGAGGGCCATGACCTCCCCAGCTCCCCTAGATCCCAGAGGGGCAGGAAGACTCCCTCTGATATCAACCCAGAGGACTATGATCAAGACGACATGCAAATCACTTCATCTCCGGTCCCATTAACATCTCCCTCACACATACTCCCATCCCCCGAGTTTGGTTTCCTCGCTGCTGTCAGGAAAAGTGCAAATTTAGGGAATAAAAGAGACTCCCTTGGCCCCAAAATCTTGACTAGGTGTTTCCTGAAGACTTTTATCCACCACCATCATGAGCAGTGTTCCCTCTAAGCTGAGTTAGTGTGAGCTAGCTCACAATCTTGTAGCCTCCAGCTCACAGACTTTTGTCTTAGCTCAGGAAGGATGGCTCCAGAGCAAACTGATTTATGCAGTAGCCAAATCGCTGGCTCACAACTTTAAAGTCAGTAACTCACATAGCAGAATTTTTGCTTACAAGACTCCACAGCTTAGAGGGAACATTGATCATGAGACAACACTGACCCTTCCAGGCAGGCCGAGTACTGCTTAGCTTCTACCGTTCCATTCCTTTCACACGCTTTACCCTCACATCTTTTTCTCTCCCTCACACTCAACTGGGCCTTTTCCTTGGGACCACAAGCAGTGTTCCCTCCAAGCTGAGTTAGTGTGAGCTAGCTCACAGTTTTTTAGCCTCTGGCTCACACATTTTTGTCTTCGCTCAGGAAGGAGGGCTCCAGAGCAGACTAACTGATGCAGCGGCCAAATCGCTCGCTCACCCCTTTAATGCCAGTAGCTCACGGAGTAGAATATTTGCTCACAAGACTCCACAGCTTAGAGGGAGCATTGACCACAAGTCCCTAAGTCCCTCGTGTGGCAGGCATCCCGCACCTTCTTTCACTCCCCAAACCCCTCTCCCATCCTGGCCTCACTCTTCACCTTCCCTTCCTCTCCCCCCCCGTCTTTCTAATCTCGCTTAGGACATACACACTCCACCCGCCTTCCCCTGGCAGCTCCCCCCCCGCCCCGTATTAGCTGCATGTGGAACACATTTTGGGGTTAAATTCTAAATTAAATTAGGCACTAAGGGTTTGCATCTGAATACTGTCACCCCATTTTGGAACCACCTTGGGTCTACTGCTGTTGGAATGGCTTCTAATTGCCTTTTCAAACAGTCTCTGGTTAGAACTGCCCTAAACGCAGCCTTGCTGATTCAAGCTGATCCATTTTTCTCTCCATTCATGCTTTACACGCTTCATCCAGTTGATACAGATAAAAACGGGTTAAGCGTTTGTTTCTCTCTCTCTCTCTCTCTGTTGGGAAGGATATGGAGACCTGAGCTGTGCTGCTGTGCAGAGGAACAACATGACCTCTGGGACTTGCACGTGCGGAGAGGCCCGTGAGCGAATACCTGGCCCCGGTTCTCCTCGACTGGTAACGTACCCAGAGGCTGTGGCTCGCCGGTGGCTTCTACCCAGGATTTCATCAGTCGGTGGAGAATCCGTTGCTCATGGATGGGGAAGACCTGCTGCAGGATGCCGCGGGCGGCTAGCTCCGGGACTGCAAAAGAATAAGGGGAAGGACGAAAAGCAAAGTGGGGCAGGTGCTCAGCTCCCCGGAGGACCACAGTGGCTCACGGCCAACAACCCCCTCAAAGGCCATTCAGGCACACAGAGATGCAGGGCCAGGTTAGACATCCAAGCAAGGGGCAGGGCTCCTGCTGGACCAAGCCATTTCAGTGTCGGGGTCCATGTCTGAATGCTACTCTTGTGTACAGGAAAACAGCTAAGCCTTTTCCTTGACAGGCTCCCTGTCCTATGAAAAGAGAGCATTATGTTTTTTGGGTGGGTGGAAAATTCAGACATGCACCCTCCTTCCAGCCTGAAGGAGAAGAGAGGCTCTACCAACCTGCTCTCTTCCACTGGCAGTTATAAATGAGAGTGGGGAGGAAGATCCTCAAGGAAATCTCCTGAGCGCAGACTCTGCTGGCGGGCCTTCCTGTTCTCATCTGCTTCAGAGGAGTTCTTTCTCACGTTCCAGTTTACAGCTGCCCTTGCATGAGTGTGTGTGGGTGGGTGGGGGAGCTAAGAAAATATCTCATTTGTCAATTCTCAGGAACTAAATCCATAAGAGGCTTTGAGAAGGGCAGGGGGACGCGGGGCGGGGGGACGCCCTCCTTTGTGAACACCTGCTGGATTTCAACGGCTAGTCATGCCAGAAAGGACACACACCTCCGTGCCGACATAACAAGGGCATCCTGCCACCACCAGGGTCCATGCCTTGAAGCTCCTCAACCGAGATGTAACATTTTTGTTGTTGTTTACTTTCAGAAACACAGAGCACCTCTGTCCCCTCGAAACATTCAACTTCCAGAATACAATGCGAAAATGGGCGAAAGTCAGAGAGTCAAAGGCAGATTGTGCCTTGTCCGGGGGGGGGGGGCAGTACCCAAAGTCTGGGTCCCACTCTCTTCACCTGTGTGCATTTCCCCATAGGGTTGCCAACTCCAGGTCGGAATATTCCTGGAGATTTGGGGGTGGAGCCTGGGGAGGGACTTCAGCATGGTATGATGCCACAGAGTCCACCCTTCAAGGCAGCCATTTTCTCCAGGGGAACAGATCCATGTTGTCTGGAAATCATCTGTAATCCCAGAAAATCTCCAGGCAACCGCAACCCTGACCTTTAGGGTCCCAGTTCTCACTCACTGATTGGCTGCCCCTCCAGGAAGTGGACGTTATGCAGCATCTCGCCTTGTTTGGCTCGCAGGTTCTCCAGCCAATACCTGATGACGTTCTGCCGTTCCTGCAAACGGGACAGGGCAGGACCAACAGTGAGCTGGCTGGGATCGCCACCCTCCCCTTCCCCCTCTGCCATGCTACAGAGCTGCATCCCCAGACCAGACTCTGCACCTGGAGACTGCTGATATCCAGACAACGGCATACCAGCTGGCCAAGAAGCAGGGAAAGCACGCAACCCTTATGGCCAGATGAAGGCGGCATGGATTGTCCGCGAAAGGAGGAAGCAAACCCAGCTGCCCCAGCAGTGGCAAGTTCAGGAATTACTCCTCATCCATGCAGTGCAAAATTGGCAGGTGGAACACGCTGCCACAAGATGTGGTGATAACCCCGTAGCTTAGACTTTCCAAAGAAGGTGTAGACAGAATTGCGGCGGGAGAAAGTCCATGTACTGAAAATTGGCAGGTGGAGCTCACCGCTACAAAATATGGTGATAACCACATAGCTTAGGCTTTTTAAAAAAGGTATAGACAGAATTGTGGTGGGAGAGATGCCTAAAATCTGCTGTTGGGAGCTACGGTGCAAGATCAGCCCAGAAAGGTCCTGCTCTGATAGTCTGATAGCCTTCTTCAGAAGAACGTATTGACAAATTCATTCTTCTGTGACAAGCCCCACCCATAGGGAACAGCTGGCCCTCCACAAAGCGGTGCTTCTTGACCCAGCAGCCTGGTGGAGGGGGGGGATAGGGAACAGCTGGCCCTCCACAAAGCGGCGCTTCTTGACCCAGCAGCCTGGCGGCGGCGGCGGAAGGGCACTCACCTGAGAAGTGAAAAAATGCAGCTCATTCTCTATGTTCTCATAGATGTAATCCTCCTCGCAAGAGAAGCTGCGCGTGCCTCCCCCAAATTCAGCCTTCACTGGCTTCCGCAGGCCGATCTCATCTGCGCCTCGTAACAAACTGCCAAGGAAAGGCGCAGGAGACCGAGAGGACAAAAACACTTAGACACAAAACTACAGCTTCCCCCTCCCACTCGCTGCTTTCTTCAGGGCGGTGGTAGACATATTTCTCCCACCCTCCAAGGTCCCTGTGAGGTAGGCGATGCTGAGAAAGGGCAACTAGCTTGGTGGACAAAGGAGGGATTTCAGTGCATGTCTCCCTGGCCCTAGTCCAACCACAGCAGCATGACACCCTCGCTCTCTGTGCTGGAGACCGCTGACTGAACGTCTACTGTTTCAGGGACGATCAAAGAGTAGAAATTTTACTTTTTGTGTCTGTAACGGCAACTTGCCAAAGGCTTCTGCTTGCTGACCACTTCCTGAGAAGTGACTGGCGCAGAGGTCAAGTTGCACTGTCCTCTTGGGGCTTTGGGGCTTCCCAAACATGTTTCCCCTCCCTGGCGAAAGAAGGTACCCCGGGGGACTAGTGAGACACTGGTGTCCCCCACGCCAGGGGCTCAACCATTCGTCTTCTATTGGGCACCACTGCTGAGGCACTGAGCCAGGTTTCTCGGGTCTCAGGAACCCACGCCTGCCCTCAAGTGGGAGGCTTCTCAGAGGCCTTTCACCAAGAGCTCCCCAGACCCTCAGGAAGAGCTTACTCCCCTGTCAGAGCAGCAGTGGCACACAGACGGCTGCCCGCCCAACCTTCTCTCCCTCAATCCCTGAAACTCATCCCCTCTTTCTGCATATGGACACCTCCCTCCTGACCCCAGCCACCACCCCCTCCCACACGGGACCTGCCTCTCATAGGTAGCTGTGACGAAGAGGGCGTAGACGCGCGTGTGCTTGTGGTGTCGGATCTGGATAATGAGCTCCGGGATTCCAAGCCGAATGTGGTTCAGCAACCACAGGAGCGTGTGGTCATCCGTCGTGTCTGGAGGGGAGGCCGTTTGGGGAGGGGCGGAGAGAAAACACCGCAGGGGTACAAGCCGGTTAATTAATGTGGTAGGTCAAGCGATTAGGAATACTTTGGATGGAAAGGTGTGTCCAAACAATCAGTTTTTTAAAAAGACTTGTGAGTCATTTTTACTGCAGATAGATCAAGACGGGTAGCAGTATTAGTCTGTCTGCGGCAGGAGAAAAGAGCAAGAGTCCACTGCTGCCTTCAATACTAACACAGTTTGTGGCAGGGGATGAGCTCTCATGAGCCACTGCTCACTTCTTCAGGTATCTGCTCTTCAGGTATCTTCAGATACTCTGAAGAAGTGAGCAGTGACTCATGAAAGCTCCTATCCTGCCATAAATTTTGTTAGTCTCTAAGGTGCTACTCAAGCTGCGGTGGCTCAAGTGGTTAAGACGCTGAACTGCAGGCTGTGGAAGATCAGTAGTTCAGCAGTTCGAGACCCGGGTGCCGCATGATGGAGTGAGCTCCCATCTCTAGTTCCAGCTCCTGCCAACCTAGCAGTTCAAAAGCAAGAAATTGCAAGTAGATAAATAGGTACCACTTCGGTGGGAAGGTAACAGCGTTCCGTGCACCTTGGTGTTTAGTCATGCCGGCCACATGACCACGGAAACGTCTTCGGACAGCGCTGGCTCTTCGGCTTTGAAATGGAGATGAGCACCGCAACCCTAGAGTCGGATTCGACTGGCTTTCGAGCAAGGGAACCTTTACCTTTACCTTTAAGGTGCTACTGGACTCTTGCTCTTTTCTCTTTTTAATGCAAGTGCTTTAAAAACAGAAAATGGGTGACATCCCCCTTTTTTAAAAAGGCACATTCCTCCTTTTCCTCACCCACAGGAGGGACTCCTTCTCTGACGACGGGGGGCATAAGCCACAAGGGGAAATCCCTCCCTAAGACGAAACCACTGAAATCCTTTCCAGTAGGAAGGAATCCCTCTTTTAAGACAAGGCATTCCTCTTTTCCCTGTCCCACAGGAAAGACTCTCATCCCCTAAAATGATGAGATTAGAATGCCCGCTCTCCTCCCTTGCGAGAGGGAATGCCTCCTCACCCACAGGAGGGACTCCTTCTCTGAGACGCGAGGCATATACCGGTTCCCTCAGCCACAAGGGGAAATCCCTCTCTAGGACGAAACCACTGAAATCTTTTTCAGTAGGAAGGAATCCCTCATTTAAGACAAGGCATTCCTCTTTTCCCTGTCCCACAGGAAAGACTCTCATCCCCTAAAATGATGAGATTAGAATGCCCGCTCTCCTCCCTTGCGAGAGGGAATGCCTCTTCTAAGGTGAGTCGAAGGGTCACAGCTCCACGGGGCGGCTGCCAGTCGAGGCCGAGGGCGGATGGAGGAGCTGATTCAGCAGAAGGCAACTTCAGCTGCTCATCTGGCAAATCCACTATTAACACACATGCACACAACACAGACATGTCTCAGGATCTTCCCAAAGTCTACTCTGCAGGATAGGAGGGAGGCAGGGAGGCAGGCAGGCAGGACCAGAGGGCATGTTCCCAGCCAATGCGGCCATGCGGACTGGCTCCCTGCAGCTGCATGCAACAATC